CGGCCTTACCAAATGGACTAAGTCTCACCCCACTCCAACAAACTTAAGAAACCACTATTACACAGAATGAAATGAAATTCGGACACAAGCTGCCCACGGCGTGATTCCTTCTCGTACATAATAAGTCGAAAAATATATAAAGCATATGTCCTGTTTCGTTTTCAAGCTACCGAATGATCAAACCATGGCACCTCATAGTTACAACACGTATTCGAAGAGGCCTCCGTCCATTTCACGGCAAGACGACAATGCGCCCACGGCATTCTCCCAAAGCTCTCGAACATGCCTCAACATGCTGGCATCGACCGTTGTCACAGCCGTCTGAAGTCTTGCACGATATCTTCAATAGTAGGCTAAAGAATAGCGTAGCTTCTCAGGAAGTAACAGCAGCGCTGCGGTGATGGCCGCAGGATCTTTCACCTCGTACCCGACCAATTTTGCAGCAGCTCTAGATCTGACGTTGCTTTTCCGTCAGTGCATGTGCTTCTACCAATTCTGATGCAATATTTTCGCTTACAGGGGTAAGGTTTCGAAACGAAGGGTGAATTTTAACTTGCACGTCTTTTATATGAACTTAACTATATGAGTTTGATTTGTTTCATTCTGGTCCGTCACAGTAACAATTACAAATTATAAATCACTCCGTCCAATGTGACCTGTAAGTTTTTTACTGCATAAAAACTTAACACCCTTACATGTTTCGGTCTCTGTGGATCATCTTCAGAGGGTAAACATCACTACAAATAGGAAACCACTATCACATAATTTGTTTACATGCAAAGTACGTACACTTATATGTTACAGCACACAGTACATAAAATAGAACATTTCACAAACACAGCAGTTTCCTGGTAATGTAAGTTTAAAAAAAATGTATAAAATTCCTTGATGCTAATTAAAAGTTTCTTAGATTGTCAATAATTAAAATTCGTAAACCATGCAGGCTCGTGTTCGTCCTCCCCTCGTCTCCCTTATATGGGGCAGATAGTGTGCCACCTGGCTAACTTGATGTGGAGGTTACATTGAAATAGTAAATACCCATAATATATTTGCAGAACCTCATAGTTTTCTTTGGGGGGGTTCCTTTAATTTAGTTTTGAATATATTGTGACGAATTTGCTCAAAGCATTAACCTATGGAGTCAGAAAGCCCTGTTGCTAGGTAAACACATTCCCGAGGTAATGCGATCAACAGAACTTCGGTGGAGACTCATCAAGTATCCATTCATTCATTCATTCATTCGCGAGACAAGCGTCGTTCAAGGCTGAGAGAGATTATGAAGCAACGTCTAGTAAGCAGACGTTGACGACTTCATGTGCTATACAGCAATCTTTGGAGTGGTATAATTATTTGTAGTGACTTGTCAGTGTTCAATAAACTTAATCATCAAATCCAGAACCCCTTATTTTCCTCCATGCTAAACCCCTAGTACTTGACATTTTGGTGTCAGAATTGGTCGGATTTGATCGACTGGACCGAATTATTGAATCTGCGATTGCATCGTGTAGTTACATCGCCACATTATGGAGATACAACAGGTAAAGGAAATTCTGGCTGAATTGAGAGTGACATAAGAACCAAGTAAAAGCAGACGCCCACCGAGCCGAAATGAGAGCCACGCACGAGGAAATAATAGCCAAGTTAGATGCCGACCGGGAAGAGAGGAAACAAGGGGAGCCGGCCAAGAACATCTGAGAGAGGAGGTGAAAACCCAAATGGCTCTCTCGTCTCCCGGATGGATGCCCACCAGGAAAGGATGATGGGTTGTCTTGGAAAGACGGAGATCACGGACCTGAAGACAAATCCAGAGAAAATTCAGTCCGAGGTGGAGCATCGGGAGGTCCCGAAGGCACGAGCAGCAGTGAAACCTGTCGGAGGACTCAGGAAGCGACATAGAGGCCGTAATCTGGCCACAGAGCGCCGCCAGATGCCAAAGGAACTGATCCGGGGAAATTGTGGATCCCGGAGGAAAATGGTCGTCACCCGCAATAGGACGACCGACCACGCAAAAGTGGCACGGCGCAAGCGAAACATCGTCGGAACAAAACAGGGACCTGGTACGAGGAACCTTAAAAAGACGGATGTTCGGAAGGTGGCGTCAGCTGGGACGTGCTGCCGTAAGGAGGGAGCAGTACGAGCGGTTGGACAATGAACACAGCCTGAGGAAAGAAACGAGCCAGAAGAAGACGTCACGAGAAGAAACAGTGAAGGATCGGCTATTCAGGCCGAAGAATCTTAAGAAGGGAGCAATGTGACGGATTTGCTTGAAGCATCAAGCTACGGAGCCAGAAGAAACCGTTGCTAGGTAAACAGATTCCCGAGGTACGTGGTCAACAGTACAACTTCGGCTGCTTTGTAGCGAACGTTTCGGTAAGCACGTGTTCATGACAATGAATTTCCATGGATACGAGCTAGCCTTGGGACCTTTCGAGACTCTTTAAGGATTCAGTCATTCATTCTTTCGTGAGAAAGACGTCGTTCAAGGCTGTGAGATGTTCTTCATACCGCATCAAGAATTTCAGTGTGTGAGCTGTTACAATGAACTATAATTGTATATAAGTGCCAATAAACCCAATCATGAAATCCAGAACCCATTATTATTCGTCACGCATGTGATAACACGCTGCATTTTGGATCATAATAAGTACCAGTTTTAGTATTAGACATATTAAGCTACCCGAACACAATGATGTACTAAGGGCTGGTGATTCTATCAACAAAAACATGTGTCCTACCTTAAGTATTCGAAGTATGGCGAGTTTACCCTACTGCGAGGGAAGGTACAAATGTGCTCCTTCAGGTGATCCCATAGGAAAAATCCATGGGAGTAAAATACGGCGATTGATGAGGCCATGCAATCGGCTCTCGATGCCCAATATATCTTAGTGGATATGTCGCGTTGAGCTACTGCCAGACATCTTTCCCGTGCTGAACCACAACCTCTACCTCACAGCTATGGGCAGCCCGGGTAGAACAGTTTCCAGAAAGTCATGACATCGATGAATCAGCCTGTCAAGTAGCACATATTGTGCCCGGCGATTTCAGCCCGAACGATGGCGCCGAAGCGGAATTGATATGCATGTTTGCGGATAGTATAAGGATTATCCCGTGTCCAGTGGTGGTGGTTGTGGGCGCTGAACACGCTTCGTCTGTTCACATGCTTTGTACAAAGCGCTCTCATCAGTGTGATGATGTAGCCATTTGTAAAATGTCTCTGTAGAAGACGAGAGTGTGGAACAGATGTGCGCTCCACGAATGCTGGTATGGTTGCAACTGATCGTCATTAAGTACTTGGAGGACCCTCGGCTAGAACAGTCCCGATTCTCGTGTGATGTCTAGTTCGACAGTTGCAATTATGGCATACTCATTGGCTCACGTACGTATAATCCGTGGGCGGCCTGCATTCACGCATGTCGTAGACCACTGCCTTTCTCATAGAAACACTACTCCAGTCGTCGAAACACGTCAGCATCTGGACGAAGTCGACCAGGATAACGGGGCGTGTTCCGTGCAGCAGTATTTTTTTTTATTGCTCGGGGGTGGGACTAAGTCCCTTGTACTGCGGCCACTTCTGGCCTGTTGTACCAGCCCCAGATGATAGGTGAGGGTGATAAGATTGGTGTGCAATCGCAGCGACACTATATTGCCTCAGTAAGAAGGTAGACGTTGAGCTCATAGGATCGCTGTTATTAGTAGATACTGTATGCTTTTCCCACGTGCCAGTTGCTTGTTTTTAATTGATATATTTCTTTTAGGGCAGTAACACATTTAAAAAGAAAACAAATGACACATATTCAGTCAAAACTTGGTAACAAAATTTTGCATAGCCAGACGCGAGAGGTTGTAAATAACGATCACTCATTTATGAAAAGTGAAGCGGCTGCAGGTCATGTATTGATACCGTTAAGAAGGGTACAAGAGAGAGTGGTAAGGTCAACCGGCGTTACAGAAAGAATTTTACGGAGTATTCTGAATGAAGGTTCTCGATATGAAAAACAAGGTGCTATGTTCGGAACTCCCGGTAAACACCATTCTGTATCTAAACGGATAATAAATCCAGGTGATTTCGATATATCTGTGATTCGTCGGACAATGTATGAGTGTAAACAACACAGCAGGCCACGCATAAACACGGAAATACTAAGAATCTCCTTTCGCAAGATAGACAGACGGCACAGGACCAACCACCTCCACGAATAACAAGAGGAAATTTGACGCGAAACTGTATGGTTCGTAAATTTTAAGCCCGATCTTGAAAGTTTTTAAAACACATTTTTTTAAAAGATTTAACACCACGAAGGTCGCCGTGAATGTGGAAGATTGAACATTGCGTATATTGTGCATTTTAGACATCATATGTGTATCCATACAATTAACATCTATTGTAATAGTAGTTTCCGAAAGTACTGATACCCTCTGAGAATGATCCGTAAGGATCGAAACATGTAAGGGAAATAAATCCTCAAGTGATAAAACTTAAATAGTCACATTAGACGGTATTATTTTTGACGTTGTAATTGTTAGTGTGACGGACCAGAGTGAAACAAATAAAAAAAGTATGATTTCCACACCCAAGAAGAAACTGTGCCTCCTGTGAGGAAACTACTTCCAAAACTCTGGGAAATCATAAATTTCAAGGAAGGTAGTACCAGCCTGAAATTGATTTTACGGAAGATAGGGGTTTAAATGGAAGAAAAGGCGAAATAACAGGGGTGCCTTGATCGAGAGGGACAACATTAGGTCGAAGAGAGTAGCATATTTGCGTGCAATAATGAAGTACAGGGAAGATCGGATTATAATTTATGAGGACGAGACCCTTCATTCACAGCAGTCACACCAGACCTAAAAACTTGACGGATGACACTCCATCAGGGTACATGGCACCTGTATCGAAGGGCCAGAGGCTGATTATTGTGCACGCGGGAGACAGAACCGGCTTCATTTCCGGGTCATTGTTGATATTTAAATCTCTTCTCAAGACCGGGGACTATCATAGCGAAATGAAGGCGACAAATTATCAGAAGTGGCTAACAGAAAAACTTATTCCGAATTTGCCTCCACAATCAGTTCTTGTTGTAGATAATGCCCTATATCACAACGTGCAGGTTAATAAGGTGCCAACCAGCCAGACCACGAAGGCCAAGATGATGGAGTGGCTTACAGTGAACAATGTGCCATTTCATGACGGAATGCTCAAAATTCAGCTCTATGACCTGATAAAGGCACATAAACCCCTCCACAAAAACTCTGTAATGGACAACATAATGGCTGCATATGGACACACGGCATTACGACTTCCACTTTATCATCCAGACTTGAATCCGACTGAACTTGTTTGGGCTCATGTTAAGCAGTCAGTAGGGGCAGAAAATGTTTCATTTCATTTGGATGACGTGGCAAAGAAGTGTGAGAAATGGTTCAGTGAATTTGCAATAGAGAATTGGGGAAAAGTTTGCGACCGCACCGAAAAGAATGAAAAGGAATATATCGTAAAAGAGGGAATTAGAGAGAACGCTATAGAAAGAATTATCATCCGACGTTCTGAAGACAGCAGTGACAGCGACTCCAGTGATAATGATACAACTGAACTCGGTGAAAACAGGGACTTGTCTGGAGTGGAACTGTTAGACGAATAATTAGTATTGTGTTAGGTTTATGTGTATTTTAATTTAACGTTGCTAGTGTAGTGCAGCATACTGCGAGTAAATTAATTCATCATAATAGGATGTTAAAAAGCCTGAATTATTACTGATAGGACTAAAGTTCCAGAAGTAAATTCGTAGTATAGACTGGCTCTCATGCGCTGACAGTGAAGGACATCGGCCAAAAAGTATTGGCCGGCCTGTACCAGTCGAGGATTCGTCAGTATCATTCGATCACGGCCCTGCACTGCACCTAACAATGCACTGTGTATCATCGTGACAACACTTCTCCGAAGTATGTTGCCCCATTTGACAGTGACGTGCACCTCGGAACATACGTTGTGCTACATTTCCGACAATTTGTATCAGCAAGGAACCACATTATGAGGAGCTTGTGCGCGAATTTCGTTTCGCCCTGTACAATTTTATCTATATTCTGTCAGCTCTTAATAGGAATAACTCATCTTGAACAACTTCACAAAGTGGTGACCATGCACTTCAACACTTCTAGCACATATGTATTTTTTTACATTAATCATTTTATTTATGCTTACTAGACGGAACAAAAATTCTTCTTCTTAGTTTCCGTTCTATATGAGTCGACTAACGAAACG